ATTGTGAATAGTGCTGTAATAAACATGGCTGTGCAAGTGTCTTTGGAGTAACCTGGATCACATTCCTTCAGGTATATTCCTAAGAGTGGTGTCGCTGGATTTTATGGCAGATCTATTTTTAGTTTTTTAAGGATCCTCTACTGTTTTCTATAATTGGTTGTACTAGCTTACATTGCCATCAGCAGTGTGTGAGGGTTCCTTTTTCTCCACATTTTGCCAGCATTTGGTGGTGGTGGTGTTCTTGATGGGAGCCATTCTAGCAAGAATGAGGTGGAATCTTTATGTGGTTTTGATTTGCATTTCCTTTATGGCCAGGGATGGTGAGCATTTCTCCATGTGTTTTTTAGCCATTTGGATTTCTTTGTTTGAGAAAGTTCTGTTCAGTTACCAGTTTCTTTAGTGGGTCATTGATTTTGGGAGTTTAGTTTTTTGAGCTCCCTATATATTCTGGTTATCAGTCCCTTGTCTGATGTATAGCTGGCAGAGATTTTCTCCCATTCTGTGGGTGGTCTCTTCAATTTAGAGACCATTTCTTTTGTTGTGCAGAAGCTATTTAATTTAGTTCCATTTGTCCATCCTTTCTCTTAGTTGCTAAGCTGCTGGGGTTCTATTGAGGAAGTCCTTGCCTATGCATATTGCTTCCAGAGTATTCCTTGGTCTTTTCCTGTACTGGCTTCAAGGTTTCAGGTCTGATATTAAGGTCCTTAATGCACTTTGAGTTGATACTTGTACAGGGTGACAAACATGGATCTAGTTTCAGTTTTCTGCATACAGATAACCACTTTCCCCAACAACATTTGTTAAAGAGGCTATCTTCTCTCCATTGTATTTTTTGGCACCTTTGTCAAAAATTAGGTGGGCATAGATGCATGGATTCATATCCAGGTCCTCTATTCTGTTCCACTGTTCTTCATATCTGTTTTTGTGCCAGTACCATGCTGTTTTTATTGCTATTGCTTTGTAATATAGTTTGAAGCCAGGTATTGTGATACCTCCAGCATTGCTCTTTTTGCAGAGTATTGCCTTGACTATTCATGGTCTCTTGTGTTTCCAAATGAACTTTAGGGTAGATTTTTCAATCTCTGTGAGGAATGTCACTGGGATTTGGATGGGAATTGTGTTGAACATGTAGATTGCTTTTGGTAGTATAGCCATTTTTACTATGTTGATTCTACCAATGCATGAGCACAGTAGACCTTTCCACCTTCTGTAGTCTTCTTCAATTTCTTTCTTCAGTGATTTGTAGTTCTCCTTTTAGAGGTCATTTGCATCCTTTGTTAAGATTATTCCTAGGTATTTGATTTTGTTTTGAGTTATGCCATTTCTTGAAATTTGGATTCTGTTATTATTACTCTTATAGATCAGCATATCATATCTATACCAATTTGTCCTAATAAATATAAATAATAGGCAGAGTTGTTAAAATATTTGGGAAATAACTAAAACTATTTATGAACTTTTAGCATATTGTTTAAATATTAAAACCAAGGCAACTTGATAATCCTCAAGGTGTGACTTGCATTTAGGAAGATATGAATTTTACCTCTTTCTATTTTCACTAGGAAAAGCAAAAACATAATAATAAAGATATTAACACAAAGTTCACTGTGGCTTTGTTCTCTGGTTTGGGTAAAGAATGAGGTAATATGTCTCAGAATACTACTGAGAAATGAGATAATGCCACATTCTCCATAAAAAAGTGATAAAGGAATAAATCCGTGTACTAAGTTATTTATTAAACAGGGAGTTGGGAAGAGAGAGCCTTCATTTGGTAAGGACAGGTGTAATCTAAGAGGAGATTTTCTGAGTGATGTTTGTAGTTCAGTCAGATATTCTGTAATCAAAACAAAGTAACTTTGACATATCTGAAAGAACCAACTATATTGTAGTACTCCAATTCTCTAGTCCCCAGTCCTTTCCCTCTTAAAAATTATTCTATAACATAGTCTTTCTCTGCCCTGTTATTAAAAACTTGAAAATGTAAGTTGGAATCAAGATTATGACAAATAGTATTGAGACTCATCAAAAATTTAGAAAAATTATCATATGACATTCATCAGTGCCACTTACAGGTGGCCATTTTCTGTTGTATCACAATAGGAGCTGTACACAGTGTAAAGAAAAGAAAATTTTTTTACCATACAGTTTTGGAGGCTGAGTCCCAGATCAGGTGGCCTAAACTGTCAGCCTGTGGTGGGAGCTCTTGCAGCTAAGTCACAACATGGTGGAGAGATGGAAATGAATCAGCCATGGGCAACAGTACCAAGTACACAGGGTGGCCTTCTTCACGACAACCCACTCTCTCAAGAACTAACTGGGGTCCTGTGAGAAGTATATTAATCCCTTCCAAGGATGATGTCTTCATGACCTAATTACCTTCCACTTGGCACCGCCTCTTAAAAGTTCCACCACTTTTCAACATTGCTACTTGGGTACAAAGCCTTGGATGATGATTCACATCCAAATAGCAAGGTACATGTCCAAAAGAAATGAAATCAGTATCTTGAAGAGGAATCTGAACTCCCATGCTCACTTCAGCATTACTCACAAGAACTAAGATAGAAAAACAACTAACTCTGACACTGAATGGAAGGGAAATCTATATAAGTGTGCAATGGAATATTATTCAGCTATGAAGGAAATCCTGCCATTTGTGACAACACCTTATGCTAAGTAAGATAAGCAAGACACTGTATGATATAACTTGTAGGTAGTATCTTTAAAAATCACACTGATAGAGAGTAGAATAATGGTTGCCAGAGATGAGAAGGTAGGAAAATAAGGAGAAATTGATCAAAGGGTACAAATTTTTGGTTACAACATGAATTAGTTAGGTTACTATAACATAAATTCTAATCAAATGTACAACATGGTGACCGAGTTAATAATACTTTATAGTATACTTGAAACTTGTTAGCAGTATTTTTGTTTACATTAATTGTACAAAGTAAGGGTTTTCATTATGACATCTCCACGCATGCGTACTTTGATCTATTCACCCTCCATTATGTGTTCTTATCTTTCTCTCCCTTCCTGATTTTCCTTTCTCTTCCACCTCCCTAGTAGTGCTTCCTCTGTTTTCATGACCTTGTTTTATTCTGCTCCTCTAACATCCACAAACAAGAAGACACATGTGATTCTTGTCTTTGTGGAACTCACTTATTTCACTTAACATGACACTCTCCAGTTTCATCCATTTCCCACCAAATGGCATAATCCCAGTTGTTAAGTTCTGAATAATACTCCATTGTGTACATTGACCATATTTCCTCTATCCATCCACCCACTGAAGAGCACATAGACTGATTCCATAATGGTATTCCGAATAGTGCTCGGATAAACATGGGTGTACGTGTGTCACGGACAGAGTGGATTCTAAGTACTTTTACCACAAAAAAATTAATAATAACAGAGAGGCTGGCTGTGTTAATTACCTTGACTGCTAATCATTGTGCAATGCACACATCAAATCATCGCATTGTACATGTTCAATTTATTTCTCAATTACACTATAAAATAAATCTTGATCTTTATGCAAGCTTAATATTTTGCTATCAAACTCAGAAGGAAAAATAATACAAAAACACAATGGCTACACTTACACTTCAGATGACTGTTTTAAGAGCTTCCCATGAACTAATTCACTTAATCCCCGTATCAGTCCTATGACTAATTACGATTAACTGCTCTCCATTTTGTAGATGAGGAGTTTGAGTTATAGAGGAATAACTTACTTATGATCATGGGGCAAATAAGGGTAGAGTTGGGATTTGAACCCAGGTAGCCCAGTTCCAGGCTCCGGGCTCTTCACCAGGATTCTGTGCTGCTTCTCTGGTTGGAGTCTTTCCTTCATAGCACTTATCTACCACTGGGCTCAATGCCATCTCAGCTGTGCTCCAAATTTAAAACTCAGGAGTAATCTTGACAAAACTCTGCCTTTGGAACCATCCCAAACTACATCTATACCTCTGGACATTTTAATGTATTTTTGAAACCAGTTTATCATCCTTAAATTTCAAATCATTTTCTCATGCTTTGTTTTTCATATTTTTCCTCCCTAATTCATTTTCACTGTCCTGTAGAAAGCTGGAACACAACAAGTGTCTAACAATTAGAGAATTTCTTAAATAGTTGTAGCTTATATAAAGTGTGTAGTATGATTCTGTTTTATAATTCTCTTTTTTATATATAAATCTATCTTTAGTTGTAAGCAGTGGAAGTGATAAAGTGCACAAAAGAAATAATGTTAGCAATGAAAACCACCCACAGCAATCACCTTTCTTTGCATAATCACAGTCTATCATTTTGGACTCAATTCACTACATTAGTTCTTATGTTCCCCATCATTGCTATAAGAATGATGCTGAATGAGTGAGTGAACAGCCTTTGTCCTTAGACAGGGGTGTGGGCACATCTTACAGGTACAGAGTGCCCCAGGACTGAGGTGGAAGGGACAAGGATGACAGTGTGAATTCATCTGTCAACAGTGCAGCAGGGGATTTGACAGAAGAAAGCACAGGGACAAGTTGTACCTAGTGCTAGGAAGAAGGGAGGGAAGGCCAGGTATGACTTCAAGGCGGTCATGGCTGAGCTGAGAGTGCAGGGTGGGGAGAAACAGATAGGAAAGGGCCTTATAACACTTGCACTGTCAAACTGCAAGAGTAGAAGAAAAAATGGCAACCTCTCCTTTGATTTTTACATTGTAGAAAATTCAGGCTGGCTGAGTGGCTCAAGCAGTAAAAATGCCTGCCTCTTAAGTCTGAGGCTCAGTGCTACCCCAGCTAAGGAAAAAAAAAAAAAGAAAGAAAATGTATACTAGTAACAATTTATGAGAAACCATCAGATATGTATGGTAACAATATTTTTTATACTTTTTGGTATGAATATTATGAGATTGGTGGAGAGTTTACAAAAAAATTTAAGCACTGGAAAAATTTGTATTTTGTGTAAGATTGATACATACTAATAAGAAATATATAAATTTCTGTTACCCATCACTCTTAAAACATAATTTTCTTCCATAACTTAATGGTAATCCACCAGCCAAAGGTTGGCATATATTGCCATAGATATGCTACCAACAAGAAAGGTTGCTCTGCAATCCAAGCTTCTTTCAAATCATTGACCATGGAGATCAACATCAGCCGGACACAACGATGAGTTGTCATCTTGGGCAAATGGTCTAATTCATTATCTGTCACCTAAAAGGAGTTAAAAAAGAATTGAATGCTAAATATTTATGCAAACTATTTAAATGAAAGTTGAAGCTGGAAAGGACCCAAAAGCCACCTAATACTGGGTTCCTTCAGGGTGGGGCTTCGTGCCTGTTAGTATTCCCCACAGTTAATCATGGGAACTGGCAAACTTTTGTAATATTTCAAAAGGGGTCATACGCTTACCAGTTGAGATTATGCATATTAAACTCAAAGACCAAGGTTCCTTGCTAGTAATTAGAATTGCATCACTTTACATTGATAAGTGGTCATTTTATCATCTCTTTAGAAACAGAAATCATTTAGCATTGAAATTCAATACATCCACAAGAATGAAATAGAAGAGGAAGAAACTGTTGTGTAATAGTGGACACATAACAGTGGTCCACTTGTAAGTGGTCTCTTAGCAAATTCATTAACCTTTAATAGGAACTGGATGCCAAAGCACTTCTAGCTAACTTTCACAATTTTCCTAATGACAGGAGATAAGTTTTGTCAGTGATTCATACACACTTCTGACACTTCAAAAACACTTAAATACAGTGATACAAACATAAGATATAGCTAGTAAAACCTTCAAATTATTCCCAACTAGAATTTTTTTTTTACCTTAGTGGCCTCTTCAGCTATAGAATTCTTGAAAATATTTGAGTTCACAGGTCCAGGGAAAATGTTAGAAATTGTTATACCTGGATATTCAACAAGTTCAGTTCGGAGGCTATGAAAAAAACCCTAACAGGTCACAAGAAAAAAGAAAAAAATAATAAGGTAAATAAAACTGAATGGAGACACACACCTCATGATTTAACAAAATATGTGTTGTGCCATGCCTTGATTAAAGGACACCAAGCCAGCCTAATAAGCATTTTCATCTGCAAGAGGAGGTGATCTGGAACAGATAATCTCCATTCTTGCCAGGTACAAATGGTTCACCCCATGGGTAGCAGTGGCTCTCGTCATTGATGTTTTTATGGCAGGCAAACACTGAGCATGCTCTCTCCCTATTCTGAAAGGAGAGCATTTTCTCCAGAGAACAGCTAAGGTATGGCTGTTCTTTAGTCCCCTGAGTGGACTCAGGTGCTTCATTCAGGGCAATGGGGGAAACAGCAGGATTAGAACTTCACAGTGACTATCACAGAGAGAGAATTCAACCTTTTCAACTGCTATTACCACTTTAATAGGATGAGATAACCCACATTACATTCCTACATGATCTGGCAACATTAAACAGTCACCAGTTTTGCATGCTGACACCAACTAACACAGAGGCTGTGACAGTCTGTGCTGTCACGGACTGACATAGTGCCTGCCTCCAAGATGGATGAAAGAAAATGCTTGGGAAATGAATGGAGAACTTCTGTACCTATGACCTTCTCCCCTCTGCAGCAAAAGAGTGAGGACACCAAGTGGTAACACATCAGACGCTGAAACCTCTCTTTGGAATTCACATCAAGAATGGTATGAAAACAATAAGTTCACACTGCAAGTTGCTGGAAATCGTAAAAGGAAATGTCTTCTTTAAAAAGAGTCTCTTGGGGTTGGTAGAATAGCTCAAGTTGTAAAGTGCCTGCCTCATAAGCATGAGGCCCTGAGTTCAAACCCCAGCCCTGCCAAAAAAAAGAACCTCTTGGTCTCGATGTTCAACTAACTCCACTATCAACCCAACATATTCTATCAGAGGTTCACATCCAGTAATAAAACAGATGGTCTTTCAGGGCAAGCCAGACAGCTCTTCTGTGTTTTATTTAAGCATCTTGCATGTCTTATGAGACTTGGGACCAACAGATGGGGTGGCCACTGTCCCTCCTCTGCCTGAAGATTGCACAATGGCACTGCAGGAAGTAATTGACATGACTAAATATGAAGAATTCATCAGAGTTGCATTTGCCTTCATCTCTCTCTTTCTATGAAACTGTTTTTCATGGCAGAAAAGATGTCCTAAAGAAACAAAGTTTCAATTTTCATGAACCTAAACCTATTGCATCTCATTATTCCAACAGTGAAGCATCCTACTAAAACTCACCTTCAATCGTATGAATTATAAGCTTTGGATCTCCATTCATCATTCGTGTCTTACTGGCACGCTTATTTCTTCATATGCACTCTTAAGCCAGTATTAAAAATTCATTAAGTTTTAATATTTATACCTCATGATTTATATAACCCAAATCAAGCCTTTCTCTTAGTCCTTGCCTTGACTAGATTTTCTTCTTCCAATGACAACACAGTGAACAGAATCAAGGATTTTGTTAAAAAAGTAATGGCCCCAAGGGCTAGTCATCCAGTAGGCAGCACCTATTTCCAACATACATAAAGAATTAGACTGAGAAAAATAGCAAGTAAAAAAGGAAAAGTATTGAAATCACAGAAATGGAGCGAAAATAGTTGATCCTGAACTATGTGTAGAAGAAAAGAGGGCTGGACCACCATTTACCACGAAGATGTGGTAGGGATAGGAATAAGGCCAAGGGTGACAGGTTGACCAGTCTATACAGTCCTTAAAAGGAAAAACCATATCTTATCTTTGTGTCCCCACGATCTGTTGTTGTGTTTGGCACAGTACAGGCTGTCAATACACATCTGTTGAATAGGTTACAGGCATATGTGGCTCTAGTCTCATATCATGTACCAGGAGTGTCCTCTGCCAAAGTTCTCTTCTTTCTGTCTCCTTACATTACCTCCCAGTGCTAATGGCCTTACCAAGTGATAGCATATCCTCCATGCACACATTTAGGTCAGTTCTATTACAGTTTAAGCAGCCTTACCCGAAGAGCGTATTTGCTAGCACAATATCCACTAGAAAGGGGCGTAGCTGCAACTCCCACAAGGCTGTTCACAGTCACAATCTTCCCTTGCTTCCTCTCGATCATGTGAGGCAGAACACATGTGGTTAAGGACACTGTCCCTAAGTAGTTAAGCTCTATCAGCTCCTGGAAGACATCCAGGTTGGCACCCACAACCGAAGAGCACTGGGATCTCCCACCATTGTTGACAAGAATGTCGATCTAGTTAAATAAAATCAGAGAAAGGGAATTTGTGGGATGGAATATGGATAAACTGATGGACTTGCTGGGAGTGCCTGGTTATATTGTTAACTTGAAGAATCAATGAAACAAATGATATGTTTCTAGACGTCATCAATAAGAAGATAAAATAAAAGAACCAGAATTCACCCACAGAAGTCCCATTTTAAGTAACTTTTTATGGACAGTAAAAAATGTCATAAAGATAAAAGCAGCAATGAATGCTCACTTCTTTTGTTCTACATAGAGGATTACTTGTGAAAGTATGAAAAGTATTAATTACCTAAAGCTAAAGATCCAGAGATTAAGAATGGCAATTTGTAATCCTGATCCCACTGTGTGGACCCCCTCCCACAAAGATCTCTCTGAATGAGAGAACCCCAGATGTGAAATGCTTTGCAATTACTTCAAAGTCAGAAAATCAATATAATTAATGCTTTATTGATATAAAATGCTACTTACTCTACCAAACTCCTGAAGAACAGCTTTGGTCGCCTCCTCATGGGAATCTCTGTCAGTCAGGTCAAGGGGCAAAACCAGTATATCTTTTTCTTTTAAATTGCCATTCTCTAAATAAAGACACATAAACATTAGTGTGGAAGTTGTGCCATAGTTCAATTAAACGCTGTGCTACTCACATTAAATTTAATCCCCACTCTATGAAAAGAGTTGGCCATAAACACCGGGAGTGGCCTGGTGAAGAAAGTTTCTCTCATTGACTGGGAAGATGACTTAGTTGGTAAAATGGCAACGTCTTAGACCAAAGGCTGGGGGGATTCATGGGAAGTGGAATGGTGGGCTTCACCTTGAACATAATTTATTCAGTGGAATTTTAGAATGGACTCTGACAAACCAAGATTATCCCCAAACTAAAAATTGCTAATTATAGAGCAGTTTTTTTAGAAGTACAGAGTTATATTGGTTTTGTGATAGGCTTACAAATTTAGTTGCTCTTTCTTTGAATGGTCTTGGAACTAAAGTCAGGGGCTGGCATGGGGTAGGCAAGAGCTCTACCACTGAGCTAAACCCCGGCCCTTAGTTGCTCTTTCACAGCGTGTTAAAAAATGACAGTTTACACTTGTATCAGTAAGAGGCTTAGGGCCATACAACAGCCACAGGCCCTTTCTATTTCTGTTGACCAAAGGACAACAAAGACTAAATTCCCTGAATTCTAAACTTGAAGTACAAGTAAAGCCAATGAGAAAGACAAGCAACAATAAAAAACACAAGAGTTGCAAAGGTTTTATGGGCAAAATAGGAAATGGTGAAACATCATGTATATTAAAAGCAAGGAAAGGTTTGTACCAATGATCTGACCAATAAAAGGAAAGCAATCATCCTCACACCAGCTAGGAAATGCTGACATGGTTCATCTTCTCTGCCAAAACAAGACTTACAGGTCACAGGTAGAGAAGCAACTACCATAAGAAATGGCACAGGGCAAAAGTACAAGAGGTCTTTAAAAGCAATACCATGAAAGGGGCCTGTGGCCTTGCTAAGTCTTCATGGGAAAATGAACTCTCATTGCTGGATGCTTAAGTCAGTCAGCAAAGTAAAAGACAGATCTTTAAAAGAATGACCAGGACAGGGATGTCCCACAAAAGATCTGATGGAAAATTCAAAATTATTTAGTCATAGGTACTAGATACTCTATGAGAAATAATTTTTTTTACTAAACACTACTTTAAAACAGAATGTGACTAGACCAAACCACAAAAATACTAACACTTTGGCCATGTATATGAATATGAAAGATATTATAATAGTTTGAACTTTTAAACATAATTTCATTCCTTTTCTGTTATCTTATATAACAAAAATCTGATTCATACCACATGGCTATATGAGGCATTTTGGCAAAATGACAAAAAATCATTCTTTTTTTATTTTTGCTGTACTGGGGTTTGAACCCAGGGCTTACACCTTGAGCAACAACACCAGCCCCTTTTGGGGCTGGCTTTGAGCCATGATCCTCCTGATCTTTGCATCCTGAGTAGCTAGGATTACAGGTGTGAAGGGCCAGTGCCCAGCTAAAAGATCTTAATGAAAACTCAGTGATTAGATATTTGAATTGCATTAATAAGAACAAAAATGTTCTCTCTCAAGGACAAGGATATAAGTCAGTTGATCACTAAAAATCCATCTGCATTTGAGAAAATTGTTGGTTAATCATTAATGGCAAGGGTCGGTGCAAAAAGAGTAGAAAGGTGACAGAAGAGAAGGAGAAGGCAAAGGCAGCTACTTTAGAGATGACTAAAGACGAGGTCAGGGTGAGAGCACTAGGGGCATTAGAGCCACAGTGTTTGACCTGGAGCATCCACTCTTGCCTCAAAAATTCTCAGTGCTACACTTGAGCTGGGTTCTGATTCATTTCTAGCAAGCAGTGTTGCTGGTGTTTTGGATTTACTCACCCAGGCATCTTCTTTTCACCCTTTCAAGCTCATGTACCCTTCTGGCTGACAGCACAAGAGAAACTCTAAGTTTAGACAACTGGTACACCAGCTCCTCGCCAATGCCACTTGACGCTCCAGTTACCCACACCACCATGTCCGTAAGCTCCCATTCTGTGGAGGAAGGAGGACGGGTGCAGGGGAGCAAATATGCAAGGGGTTAGACTCATACATCAAAGAGTAGAAAGAAAATGCTACCCAATACCAGTTAATATGTAGACCGAGTGCATGAGCTTAAAAATTTAAATAACCTACGATAACATCTACCTAAAATTTTTAACAGCACAAATGCAAACTATATTATTAGCAGTCATCCACACAGTATTTTGTGTATTCCAGAATCTGACTAGAAACTTTGGATTTTACTCTTACTTATGTTTTATAGCCCCATACTTTCACTCTGTGGAAGGCTCTAAGAAAATAGGAAAGCTAAGAAAACAGAAAGTCATTGCTTGGTCAAAAGTTCTTTATCCATAAATGGGCTATTCAGATTAGATGATCACTAAAGGCCCCATCCACTTTTCAGTTCTGTTTTTCCAGTTTGTGGCAGTGAAGGCATTAACCAGGAATTCAAGTATACAAACTTCTGCTCTATGGTATGATGTAATTTATATCCTGCATTTTAATGTAATATTTTTCCTAACACACAAATATATGTGATATCTATCAGGGAATCCTTTTTTGTAAGTGTGCCCCCTAAATGTGTGAATTCTCATCTTAGGAGAATCTACTAGTTCACCCAAGATGAATTGCATAGGACAGAGAAATGAAATCTTGCATTCTGTTTACCTTGTTAGATTCCTGTGAAAGACTAGAAATGCTACATTACTAAAGCAATAACAAGTGGTTTATTTGTACTGGAGGAGACGATAACCACTGTCTATCTGAACCTACAGAGTCACTGTGGTGCTAAGTTTATGAAAATATGTTATTGTTGAAAAGTAGCAAACATGTTATCACTTAACTTCAGATTTTTGATTAGACCAAAAAAGTTGTACTTAGGAATCTAGTGTACTAATTTAGTTAAGCAGTTTTTAACTGTGTCAACACAACAGGTTTCAATCCTGCTTTGTTTAGAGAACCAGCTCTGGAAACTCCCAGGGTTCAAATTTTAGCTTCACCACACCCAGCAGTGAGCATCTGCCCTGTGAGAATTCAGTGCCTTAATTTCTCACAACTGAAAAGCAATTCATGATGCATTTCTTCACAGGATTTTTGAGAGAAAGGAGTCAAAACCTGGAAAGCTCTTGCAGCAATATCTGGCACAGACTCAGTGCTTAAGAAATTATCAACTCTAATTATCACCAAAAACTTTTAGCAGAAGGACTTTTTAGCAAGGAACTATAGAATACTCACTCAATAATGTGTGTGCCCTAATTTCTCCCACCAGTAGTAATGGGGCTACCTGTCCTAATGCCTTAATAATTTTTTATTACTTGCTATGTGCATAACACATTACCTTATTAAAACTCTCACAAGAATCTTAGAAAATAGGTATCATTATCTCTGCTTTAAAGAAAAGGATACTGAGGTTTACAGAGATTAACTCACCCCAATAGACTGCTAAGGCCATAAAGGTGAGACTCTTTCAGCCTTTTTTGTTTATCCATTTGTTCTTATGTTTATCAGCTTGTTGTTTATTTGTTTGTTTTTTCTGTACTGGAGATTGAACTCAGACTCCTGCACTTGCTCTGCAAGTACTCTACCACTGGGTCGTGCCCTCAGCCACTTTGTATTTTATCAGTCAAATAGGATCTCCATAACTTTCCCTGGGCTGGCCTCCAACCTGAGATCCTCCTGCCTCTGCCTGAGCTACAGTACTATGGGACTACCCATAGTCTGCCTTGTTCATGGTTATGACCTCAGCACCATGAGATAGAAAATAGAAAGGACTCCATAAATTAATGACTACCTAATAAACACCCAAGAATTCTGGCAGAGCTGGGATACAAACCCAGGTACATCCAGTTCCACAGCCCATAGTTTCCACTCCCCTGTGGCATACATATTCAAATATGGTAGCTTTTTCAGCTGGCGCTAGAGATTGAACCCAGGTCCTTCTGGATGCTATGCAAGTGCTTCATCACGGTGCTATACCCACAACCCTAATCACAGTCAGTATTTTCTAAAACAGAATTGTTTCTTAGACATCAAAAAAATGTAACTTGTTTTTAGGAAAAAGATTTCCAGCAAATATCTGAATAAAGGATGGAAACATCTCAATTCCTAAGTCTGGGCTACAAAACTATCCATGTATGTGATATAATTTCATGGAAAGTCACACATGACCAAGGACTTTACAGGCATATTGGAAGTGTAGTCAGAAAATTGTTTCTTCATCGACTACTCATTATAACAAAGTACTTCAATGCTCAGACTCCAAGCTGACTTTAGTTTCTTTTGGAGCTATTTGCTAACAAGCCTACAGCTCACAAAGATTTCTTAATATCTACATCAATAAGCAGCCATTTATGTGAAGCCAATGATGAAAGATCCCAGGCTCACAGTGACATTAGGACAACCAAATATGACTCATCTTCTCTCCTGGAGAAGAAACTTTTTTTGGGGGGGGGCACTAACTTTTATTTACCAATTTCACAGAATCTGACACTCATGATGACCTTCTATAAAGAACCTCTGAAAGCAGCCTCCCAAAGTTGAAAAGAAACCTAGAGTTCAATGTCCAGCCCAGTTGGAAAACTCTCTCCTCAGGCCATTGACTGCTCTCTACCTCCTTCCTCACAGGATGTGGAAGATGATCTCTGAATTGAGATAGCACGCATGTCTTCCCTAAGTCCTCTCATCTCTTGCTTCTCTAAGGTTAAACACATCTAGTTCCTGCTACCTGTCCTCACATGACACAACCTCAGGTTTCCTCACTCTGCACACTGCCCTCTGCATAGCTCACATAGGTCCAGGCTTCTATTGAAGAGAGCTGACCAGAGCAGGACACAGGACTCCACTGGGGTCTGGACAGTGCAGAGAAGAGTGACATGACACAACCTCTTCCCTTGCCCCCAAAGGGTGGGTTGTGTAAGTGTCCAGACTGTGCCAGGTCACTGCTGTGTCCCAGTGCTCAGCGCAGAGGGACCAATCCCACACAGATATTGCCTCTGACACTAAACATCAACACTGCAGCCCAGGCTTCCTGATCTTTTCTGGAAGCCACTCACAGATGGCTCACTTGGAGGCTATCGTCAACTAAATCCTGAGTTGTCCTCACTTGTGCTGCTGTTATTTGCTGCTGCTCTGAACTTCTGTCATGGATTTTTCTGGATCAAAGGACAATATATAAAACCAGTTACCCTTAAACTCCACTCTGTGAGATATATGCCTGGAAATGCAGAGAGTTCTCTAGAAGGATATAGGACAGGAAGAAATGGTGGCCTCTAGAAAGATATCCTGGGGACAGGGCAGGACAGAACTTAACTTTTTACCATGCATGCTTTGTATTTTAAATTTTTTTATTACACAACTGTAGTGTCTAATTTTTAAGTGATAAAAATTAATATGAGGAAAAATGTTTTTGTTGTTTTATCTTGAGAGACTGTGTCCATCTTTCTGGCCCATTATGTTTTGGTGTTCTGAGTGAATTTCTATGTTCCTTTAATTTTTTTCCTTCATTCCCATCCCATGAAACTTTAATTCCACAGATATACTACATATCCATCTAGGTAATATATATATATGTACCTACGTTTTATACTTAAAAGGAATTCTATAAAACTTACTCTTTAGTTAATGCAGGTTTAAAAGTGATTACATTTTGAAATTAATTAAGTTAAAAAGTTAAAGTTTAAAAGCCATTAACATTTCTGTAACTGTTAAACAATTTTAGTATAACTTATTTACTTAAGTGGCAATGCATCTAGTTAATATACAACTTTTCAAATCTTATCACCACATAATCATGTGTATTTAAATTTAAAATCATTCAAAATACTTTTTGTCCACAAAATCGAACAATAGAAAATTAATTAAATTTCATAAAAATTACTTTAAGTGACCTTGTAACTCAGGGAAAAAGTCAATCAATGTTTTTCCTTCTCAGCCATAACTACATGCATAGAGGAACTTTTGTAGCAGTACACGTTACAGATAGAAACAAACTGTATGTGATTCCCCAAGTGCAAGTTAATACCAGCATACGTAGGATCAAACACAATATACAGAAGGTTTATGTATTTTGCTTGTTGGATCAGCAATCAATCAAGGGAAAGTCCTACAGTTGTGTGTTTAGGATTCTTGTTTTTGAAAGGAAAGGAAGTCCACCACTCATAGTATTTACCACAGTTCCTTAGTAAATACTAAGGTCTTGCACACGTTGTACATTTCCTATAAATTCACTGTCAGTGCTGTCCAAGTTATGGCCAAACAACCCAGCCACAGAAATAAAACAGAGATTTCTCCCAGGATGGTTGAGCTTTGGAGGAACACAAAATACTGTACTATGGGATTTCTTTTGGTCCCAGAGGATCAGTTTTCACCATTTCTCCCATAGAAAACACGGTCTGTCTTCTGAGCAGCCTGCTAGGACTTCCTAACAAACTTCCCCCAAGGGCTTCCAGGGTTTTCACTGTGGAACTCAGAATGGGGAAACCCTCTTGGGGTCCTTGAGAATCCAAAGCCCACCTTTGTCAGGTCTTTAATTCCTCTGACATCATGGGAAACAACCCTACTACTGCCTACTTCCTAAGAGTTGTTCTAAGGTGGGGGGTTGTGAAGTGAGGAGCGCACTGCCTGCCCGCTCCCCAAGGCCTGCGTTTAGAAAAGACACCACATGACCATTAATTACGTGCCATCACAGGTGAAGCTGGGCACGGACGCAGTGGGACAGGCAGAATGACCCTTCGTGTGCCCTCAATGTCTTGCTCCAGAGGAAACACCATCCGCAGTCCTTCCTAGTGCTGCACTTTTGTCCTAGTAAGGAGATAATCTGGGATTATCTCAGATTTACTCCAAAACTACTGGGAGCGAGAAAAGGAGGATAAACAACTTGAGGAAGAAACACTGAGCCTCTTACCAGGAGGCTCCCTTAAGCTCAGGGGACACTCACTGCTTGTCACAGTATTCTCCCCAAATCCTGCACCCGAATCCCTGGGGTCCGGATGGGAAAATAAGAGTCCGGCCCGCACCGGTTCCAGAGTTCCCTTGCAGTTTGGCAAGCCCTGCAGAGGTGTCCTAGGGTTCGTGTTTTCCTAGGCTGGAAAGCAGCAGGACAGACATCAAAGGGGCAGAACTGCCTGTTCCTCTGCCTCTTGGGACCCTCAGCCCCTGGGAAAGGCGCAGATCTCCACGCAGCCCTTGGATCCTGGACCACGGTGGAGCAGGCGGAGATCTACGGGCTTAGACCTCTGCGGGCCGGCTCTCTCACTAGGGGCGGGGGGCCATGTCCGCTCCTCACCTGGCCGTCGCCCCTGCCACTCGGCCCACAGCAGTGTCAGGTCGCCGTCCGCGCGCGCCAGGAGCAGGAGTGGCGCGCACAGCGCCAGCAGCCAGAGCAACAGTTCCCAGCTCATCTTGGTCACGCGTGTCGGGCTCCTCCGGGGGAATGCGCTTCTGCCAAAGGGTGCTGTGGCCCTAAGTAACACCCAGGTCTCCGGCGCCCCGCCCAGACAGCAGGCGGGAAGGAGGCGTATCCCTGGCCATCCAGTTCGCACCACCAAGTCTTGTTCTGCATAGCAGTGGGAGTGAGGACACCATTGTTCAAGTGCTGGAACCTACCGGTGGTGCCCAATTGGCTCATGTGGCCAAGTGTCTCTTTATGCCTAACATTTAAGTTAGAAATATTTGGCCAAGATTGTGCCCTATGGATTGTGATAGGCTGTGATGGATATAATAAAAGATTTGTATAAGACTAGATAATATATTTTCAGGGTCTGGCGTGGTGGAGCACATCTATAATCCCAGCTACTCAGGAGATGGAGATCAGAAGGATCACTATTTTAGGCTAGCCCTTCAAAAAGCAAGCTGGGTATGCTGGAGCATACCTGTAATTCCAGCTATGGAGGAGACATAGGTAGAAGGATTGAGGTCGGCAGCTGACCCTGGGCAAAAAGCACAAAACCCTATCTGAAAAATAACTAAAGCTAAAAAGTAGGGCTGAAGTGGTAGAGCACTTACAAGAGTGAGTCCCTGAGGTCAAACCCTAGTGCCACCAAAAATATACATATATATATATATTGCTCTCTGAAATGTTTGGTAAGTGATTTGCCTTACAAAAGACAGAAACTGTGTAATTGTTACATACTTAAAAGACATAAAGCCAGAGGGTGGTGCATGCCTATATTCCCTGCATTCTGTGGGAAGATATATATATTTATATATATGTATGTATATACACATATATATTTTCATCTTCAAGTAATGGTAATGGATCCTTCTAAAGGTTAACACAATATATACATATATGTGTTTGAGATACATGAATTATATAATATTTTCAAATATTGTTCTATTTCATTTTTATTAAAGTAAAAATGGTGTGACTGTTTCCATTCACTTTTTCATGTACTTCAATTCAGAAACCCTAAAAATTTTTAATAAAATCATTTTTTTGTTATTGTTTTTTTCAGTACCGGGGTCTGAACTCAGGGACTACACCTTGTGCCACTCCACCATCCCTTTTTTCTAATGGATATTTTGTCTTGAACTATTTGTCTGGGCTTGCTTTGAACCATGATCCTCCTGATCTCTGCCTCTTGTATCTAGGATTACAGGCATGGCCACCAGCACCAGGCTCCAAAAACATCTTATCCCTTGTTTTCAAATATCCTTTCTGTATATATAAAAGAAACAGTGCTCACCCCACTCTTCCTGGAAATTCTCACAGGAAAATCAATGACAAGTGATCCGAGTGACTACAGGACAGCATTCCCTAAACCTGGCTCATGCATTTCTTTTCAGTGAATTGACTGCTGAAGACTCACTCACCCAACAGAACTTCTGGTTCCCAGTGTCTTCAGGCATCTGAACTAAGGCCACAAGGAGATGGAGGAAATTCTTGATAATGTGATCAAAATTTCATTTTATTCTCTTGCTGCTCAGGAATGATATACAGTGCTTTTGAGGGAATGACAATGAATATGCATCAGTTGAGATGTGAGCTTCCTTTCTCCACTTAATTTCAACTGCCTCTACAGGAGCCTCCATGTTGTTCGCTTTAGAAATGACTGAAGTTAGCGCAGTTGTACAATATGGGTTATAATTATTGGTATTGGTATTGGTCCATCTATTTAGTATATGGACCTGTTCGATCCAGCAATGTTAAAGAATTCATGAGATTTGGGTTTATCTTTTTTAAAAGCAATAGAACTATTAAGATAGGATTTTGTATTACATCTGAGTTCAGATCTACACCTTATGGCTTACATAATGAGATGTACAAGCTGGACAATTTTATAATTTTGGTCATGTAGGAAAATATCCTCATGTCATGAAAAATTCTTTGCAATGATTAATATTAATGACGATGGGACATAACACTAATAGAATTTATTGTGCTTTGCCCCCAAATGTTAGGAATTTTAAATTATTTAAACATTTTCATTATTAAAATAATGCCAACCATGGCTTCCCTTGAGCTTGCATTTTACTCAAATGGTCCATATTTCTCAATTTCATTCATGGCCAAGTTTCTTTCATTTATTTTTCAAACCATTCCAGTCTGAATTCCTTCCAAAATAAAAAGAGTTTTTATTAAAATCACTATCATTGTCCCACACATTGTCCTCATGCTGCTCGTCCTCAAAGTAGCATTGGTACAATTTGAGCACTCCTTCCTGAATCTCCTGCTGTGTTTTCTTTGAGGACTTTTTCCTACTATATTCCCTTTCTTTCCTTCCTACCTTTTTGGCTACGCTTTCTCAACTACCTTTGCTGCCTTTCCTCTTCTACCTGACCTCTTACTTCTAGGACTCTTCTTCTATATCCATCATAGATCATCCTGACTGTTCCCAAGATTTAAATGTCATCAGTAAGTTGATGGTGTTCAAATATATACACCAAATGCAACCACTCTTCATATACTGACCCTACATGTCTAACTAATCTGATATCTCCATCTGGTACATTAAGAACTGACCTTACTGAATTTTCACTTAAACATACTTTTCTACTTCCAAGTTTTAATAGTGCATAGGTAATTCTTGCCAATCGTGTCATGGAGAACTACAAGAACTGGCCAAAAGAATAAAGACACAGTGAAAATTTATATCACCAAGATGCAAGGAAGAATGAAATGCGGAAACCAGAGCTCAGCAATTGGGTGGCTTTCTTCTAGGCATCCGGAGCAGTTCAGGAAAGGTAGTTGAGAGTATGATAAGATAGGTAACATTTTTGACAGCCATCCTGCTGAGATGGATGAACAAAAATTAGATCAGGGTTCCCTGAGGAAGTGATGGTATGGGGAGGGGGAACCTAATAACTGACCACGCGTTGTTTGAAAATCCAAGGGCAGCATCCTAATTTAAGGGTGAACAAAAAATAGATGCAGTTTGACTCTCCTTGCTCCCCAAAACTAGACTAAGAGGACCCTGCATTCCGATTGCACCTAGTCTTTATCAATAACAATTATAAATCCTCTCCAGAACTACTTTTTAAGTTATTCTTATATTTTTATATTTAATGTTGGACAGTCCGTTAAATAAGGCATCTGCTGTAATTCAGATCTGGAATGTCTCCCAAAGGAATGCGTTAAAGGCTTGTTCCCCAGGGTGGCACTACTGGGAGATGAAGGATACTTTAATAGGTAGGTTCTAGTGAAGGTTTTAGGTCATGGGGATCATGCCCTCAAAAGTTTTAGTGGAACCCTAAACTCCTTTCTCTCTCGCTCTCTCTCCCCTCAATCAAGAGGTAAGTTGTTTTGGTGGGCAATAGTCCCCCAAAACAGTGTGCCCCAAAGCAATGTGGGCATGGACTGTGTTGTGTGAATTTCCTTGGAAGGGCTAAAGAGTCATGTGGCTCAAAAAAAGAATGAGGTTGAAATCCCAAATAATAATTTAATTTAAACAAGTCCAACAAGTGAGTAAAAATGAGATTTACAGCATGCACTTACAGAGCAGTGGACAGCTCTGTAAGGAGGCATCAACCAGATTCTCCAGAGCCCGTGGAAGCCACCACCAACCACATCCTACTAATAGCCTCTTTTATAGGGCTCTACATCTATAGCAAAAGTGACTAGAGCACCAACTAAGATTAAAAATAAACAGAAGTAACTACAGGTTCAAATATGAAACACAGACATTGGGGAAATGCCATGTTTAAGTGTGATTGGTCGTTGCTCTCTCCATCACTCTTGCTGACCTCTGCAGACACAATCCAACGTGGGAAGGAGGACTTGGGCCACAGTACGGCACACAGAACAACAGTGTGGCTGCCCGTTGCAAGATGGAATGACTCTGGCTAAGAGTTGGAGAACTAATCGCACTACACACTGAAACCTCCAAAACTGTGAGTCAAAAATAAAACCTTTCACGTTGATTATCTCAGGGGTTTGTTACAGTAATAGAAAGTTACTAACACAGCAAGTGAAAAAACAAGACAGCATGATCCAAACACAAGGGAAACAGCCCCACACGGACCCAGATAATGGAGTTACAAAATGCAGGATTTAGTTTCTAATGCAAAATGTGTTTAAGGATAGAAATCACAAGACCGACACTATCAGCAGGGAACTAGAACCTATAAAGAAGAATTAAGTGACAGGTCCCAAACATTAATCAAGTTTAAGAATTCAGTGAACTGGTTTCATGGAAACCAACAAACTTGAAAAAAAGAACTCATAAACTGTAAGTTAGATCAGAAGTAACTATCTAGATGAAAAGTAGGGACAAAGAATGGAAAATAGAGCAGAGAGGATAAGAGACATGTGGTTATATAAGAACATCTAATGTGAGAGAAAAGAAGAATTCTAGAAGGAGTGGAGAGAGAATATGGCAGAAACAACAATTAAGGAGATATGTTAGTATTTTAACAAAGTATTCTTACAAGTGACTTTTTCTTATTTCTGCTGCTGTTGAGATGGTGTCTCCCTATATCACCCAGGCTGGTTCCAAACTCAAGAGCTCCAATGATTCTGCTGCCTCAGCCTCCACGTAGTAGGGACTATGGCATGCACCATCACTCCCAGCATAAAAATCTGATTGGATTATTTCCTTTTGCAGTGCTGCAGATTGGGCCCAGTGCCCAGTGCATGCTGGCAAATACTCTTATCACTGAGCTACACACCAAGCTCTGAATTTTAAGGAACACTGAACCCTAAACTATCCAAGCATGATAAAATTAAAAAACCCACACTGTGACACATCAAAAGTAGGGAAAAAACACAAAATAGAAATGATAAAAGTAGCCAGAATGGTGTAAAAGGCATTACTTTCAAAGAAGCAACAGTGTTATCAAACTCACAGCAAAGTTCTCTAAAAATCTGGCAGCCCTAAGCCAATGTAATATTTTCAGGTTGCTGAAAGGAAACTGCAAACTTGAAAATCTATGCCCAGCCTCTCCCCAAAAACAAATCAAGAATGATGGTAAAGACACTTTCAAACACATTTAGCTCAACCACAGTTGCTCATTATAGAAAATAATAAGCAGTATTCTGCAGACAGAGGGAAATGATTCCAGAAAAAGTTCAGAGATACAGGAAGGAATAAACAGTACTAAAAAGATAAGTATACACTTAAATGAATACTGACTATATAAAATTTGAAGTTGCAATAAATACAATATTAAATTAAATAACAATAATAGTACATAAATTTGGATCAGAAATTCTAAGGTCCTTGCATTATCCAAAAAAGCAGCTAAAAGTACCAATAAATATGAGACTTTGTAATGTCATATGCACAGTAACAACTAAAGAATGGCAAAACCAAACAAGAACAAAAATACCACTACAAAGCTTATGTGGTAGAAAGTGTGATAATATGGAAAAAGTGAAAAAAATAGAATGTTGGGTGAGTGGAGGAAAGTGTGGCAATATAATAGCAAAAAAAAGTTTAAAAAATGGCAAAAAAGTAAAAAAATAAAAACAATGTTGGGTGTGGTTGCACTTGGTGGGTGAAGCAGGAGGATCATGAGTTCAAGGTCAGCCTGGGCTAAACAGGATGACACTGTCTCATTGTGAGAGGCAGAGAGAGATGTGGGGGCGAGAGAGGGAGGTCAAATAGTAGTTTAGGAGACAAACAAATTAAAACAAAAATGTTATTGAATAGAAAATATGTGAGGTCAGTGAAGAATAAACAGTTTTTTCAAACTTATGAAAACTAGGTTTACAGCTCTTGGCTGTCTTTAACAAAAGTAACCTTGACACAAAGCTGCCTTACTACCTTAGCCTAACCTCAAACCACAATCCTTCCCAGTGTAGCAGGGAGGAGGACCAAAAAAGAAACAGACAAGTTTGTGTTCTGATAATGTAGCAGGGAGAAGGGAATGGCATTGCAAAGAGATAAAACTTTAAAAATTGAAACATAAAGCACTGGGGGAATGAAGTCACATGCATCCATAAGTGGGTTGAGCTTTGCTTTCTGCTTCTGTAACCTGCTTGCAAGGGTATATAAAGTGAGATCCCTTTGTTCTCGGGGCTCAGCCTTTGGACACGAGTCTGCTGAGTCTGTGCTGCACAATAAAACGTTGCTTCCTGCTAAACTGCCTCAGTGTCCCGTATCTCAGCTTGAGATTCTCGCAACTGCAGGAGCTGGAATTATAGCATGAACCACAGGGATTACAGCGTGAGCCACCACGCCCATCCCAAAGGACTCCATGGATTAAGCGTGATGACGGTAGAGGTATAGTAGGTTTGGGTTGTTTTTTGATTTTTGTGCAGTACTGGGGTTAGAACTTAGGGCTTCACACTTTCTAGGCAGGTGTTCTATCATTTCAGCCCCATAAAGATATATCTTAAAAATCATTCAATTTGCATATACCTTTTCTAACTTGCATTAACTGGAATAGTGGAGTAAACTGATCACATTACTTTTCCCTTTGTCCCCACCCAACTTGTCTCTGTAAGCTTTTGTTCATGACATTCTGGAGCTCAGGAATGCATGACATACCCACCTCCACAAGACGTAAACCAGGCAGGCACAATACCCAGCAAGTACTCGGGATTCAATGACGAATAGAACACAACTGCCCAGTTCCAACCTCCTGCTCTTTGACTATCTCAACTTCCCTCTTTCAATGTTCAGAACAAGTCATGTATTACTCAAAAAAAAGGTTTCAACATTATTTTATTACAATGCCACAAGACATATGCTTTATTTTCTTGCATTCTAGAATCAGATCAATCTTTTTGTTTTTTCCAAAGGCATAAGGTATTCAACAAATCAAAGTGCCATTGTCATCACTAGTCATACAAGACCCCTATTTGTTTATTACCTTCTATCCCCATGATGCACCCCATCCCCTCCCCATCCCAACCAACCACTACAACATTACCGCAGTGTGTCAATGGGCACATCGTGACCCAATGCGCACCATCTTCTATGCACACACGTCCAATGCAGGTAGACAGTATTGGGCTGCAGTGCATGTTTCTAGGATACCCGCATGTGTGTGCATGTGTTTCATTGTTTCTACCTGATGTACATCATGGTGCACCTGCACCATGTCACCTTCCCCCTTTCCCACTGATAGCACTAGGGTGGCCTCCAATGTTCCAAATGACAATTCTACAGTTATTTTAGCTTTGGCTCCAGAGGAACTGTGAATTGCTTATATGAGCATCCTGGTTTTCTTCTGTTGCTCTTCTTGCATTCCTATTAAGGCCTATGGATGATGTTTCCTGGAAGGTACTAAACATTAAAGTAAAACTTGCTGCAGGTATGTTTCAAGCAATAGAGGTGGCCATGAATTCAAACTCCAGTACCACCAAAAAGAAAAAAAAAATCCAGTCATGCTGGGGGTGTGGCCCCTGCCTAGAAAATGTGAAATCCTGAGTTCAAACCCCAGTGATGCCAAAAAATAGTTTATTGTTACAGCAGTAAGGAGTTAAAGGGGAGTTCTCCTGAACTGAGTTTAATCCTGACTTTAACCCTCACTAGTTCTGGAATTTTGGAAAACTTATATCTAGTTGTCATGGGCTTCCCATTCTTCAGGTATAAAGGTAGAAATTACCACCTACCTTAGCTGCTATCATAAGCAACAAGTGAGATAACTAACACTAACTACCCCAGTACAGCAAATGTCAGGCTCCAGGTGTTAATAAGTGATGACTTCTGTGAGTCCTACTCAAAGCTTCAAATTACAGTAATTTCTACCTGTCCACTCTTCTAAGAGTGTAAGATTCTTGGAGGTTGGGTCTTTCTAAATACTTCTTTACATTTTCTTATTACAAAGCAATTTGTTTATGAGAAATATCCCATACAGTTTTGTTGCTATGGTTTGAATGTTTCTATTCCTTCCAAAATTTTTGTGAACTTAATCCCCAGTCCAACCCTAGTAACAGGCACGCACTTCATAGATGACTGAGTCATGAATGGAATAAGGAGTCCTTGTAAAAAGGTTTCTTGATGATAGATATCACTTTTGTTCTTCCATCCTTATTCTCACCTCTGGAGGACACGCTAAGAAGCACCATCTTGGAGGCAGAGATGAGCCTTGCTACTCTCCAATCCTGCTGGTGCATTGAACATGATGTTCTCAGCTTCCAGAGCTGTGGCAAACAAATTTCTATTGTTTCCAACATAGCTAGTCAGTGCTATTTTGTTACAGAAGCAAAGATGGACTGAGACTATGTTAATTGCATTAGTATAAATCTTTGATTAGATTTTGCTAATCTAGGTGTTAAACACAGATGCTAAAGTATTATTAAATGTTCTTTCCTTCAAGGATGTAGTGTGCTTTAATACTTTTTGTAGGATTCATGACAATATTTACTTTATTATTCATTACATGTTGAAAGGAAAGTTATATAAAAATTTAAAATCAAGCTGGAAATGGAGTCGCATGCCTGTAATCTCAGCATTCAAGAGACTGAGGCAGGACAATCTCAAGTTGGAGGCCAGCTTGAGCTACATAGTAAAACCCTAGGTCAAAAAAAAAATAGCAAAAATCACAAATCAGTCTTCAACTGGTTTTCTTCGCATAGAGTTTGCTGTATTTATGTTTTGCAGTTCTCTTTCCAGTGGCTTGAAAATGCAATTCTCCTTTCAGTCATGTTTTTTCTTCCACATTGTAGAATAAGAGGAGTCTGTATCCTGTAATGGAGAAATGGTAGCATGCATCAGTCGCTCCTCAGCCTCTCTAGTCTTAGACAATTAAGTTCTTCTCTTGTGAGGAAATGTGTCATTATCACCCACTATGAAGAATCCTTTCACACCTTGGGCAAATGCTTAAACTGGTATTAAAAAAAAAATAGACAAAATTCTACATCTGCACACAAATAACACCCTCATGTTTATCATCATTATAATCTCTATGTGACATGATTATTATGGGTTAGAACCTACTGATGCCATTTCTTAAATGCTAAATCCTTTCATTATTACTCCCTGTGACTTACCCTAATAATTGTAAATGATAGGTCAGAAGATATAGAATTGAAATATTTGGGAAATAACTCTGAAATTATTTGTGAATCTTTAGTATATTATTTAAGGTACAAAAAAGGCAACTTGATGATTCTCAAGATGTGAAATTCATATGGAAAGATATGCACTTACCTCTTCGTCCAAGAATGTACACTTGGGAAGACAAAACTATAATAAATGGTAATAATAACATAAAATTCACTGTGGCTTTCTACTTTGGTTTTACAAAGAATTAAATATTGTGTCCCCTCAAAAATGGTACTGAGAAATGAGAGAATGGCCTATTCACCATAAAAAAGAATGAAAAAGCAATAACATTATGTAATAAGCACTTTATAAAAGAGGATATTGGGAAGGAAGAACCACTATCTTCAGGAAAGTGTAGACGCAATCTGAGATGTTCTGAGTAATGCTTGCATTCTGTAGTTAGCTATAACCTTCACGTGGACATTTCTGAAAGAACTACTATCGTGGTAATAAAACATTCTAATCTCTAGTCTCTCCATTTAAAATAATTATTTCTATAACACATTCTGTTATTAAATAATTGAAGTGTGAATTGGTTCAAGATTTGACAGTATGGAGATTCCCCAAAAGAATTAAATGTAGACTTATCATATGACATTCAGTCAATGTTATTTTAAGTATGTATTAGTCCATTTTCGGTTGTTACAACAAAAATAGTTGAGGCTGTGTACTGTATGAAGAACAGAGAATGTTTTATCCCACAGGATCTGGGACTGAAAGTCCCAGATCAGGGGGCCTCTTCTGTCAGCCTCTGCCGAGGCATCACCTGACTGAGTCATGAAAATGGTTGCAGCCATGTGCAGAGGCATCAAAGTGCACAGGATGGGGTAGTCCTGTTCTATAACAACATACTTTCTCCACTGGGGTCCTGTGAGAAGTGTAGTAATCTCTCCCAAGGATGATCCAATTACTCTGCACTTTACCCCACTTCTTAAAATGTCCACCACTTTTCAACATTGTTACATGGATACCAAACACTGGAAGAGGAACCACATCCGAATAGCAAGGTACATATTCAAAGGAAATGAAATAGCTACCTTGAAGAGGCATCTACACTCTCATGTTCATTTCACCATTATTTACAAGAAAAAGGATAAGGAAACAACTGTCAGTAAATGAATGGATAAGGAATCCATAGATACTTTCAAAAGATATTATTCAGCTATAAAAAGGGAAATTTGTGACGTTATGGTAAGTGAAATAAGCTAGATATAAGAAGACACTGAAGGATATCTCTTGTATGTGGAATCTAAAAAGTCACACTGATCGAAGCAGAGAAAAGAAAGGTGGCTGCCAGTGGCAGTATGGTGGGAGGAAATGGGGAGATATTGGTCAAAGGGTACAAATTATTTATTATAAGATGAATAACATATGTTATTATATTATAAATTCTAATCTAATTAATGCACAGCATGCTGACTATAGTTAATAACACTTTATAGTATATTTAAATTTGTTAACAAAGGTAGATCTTAAATGCTTTCACAACAACATCAATAAATGTAACTTAGGTGATGAATTTGTTGCTTAGCTTGATTGCAGCGTAGTATGACACACAAGTTATATGTCAATCACATTATACACCTTTAATATTGATATTTTTTATTTGTTATAATGCACAAAATAAAGTTTGATCTTTGTGTAGGTTGAATAGTCTACTACCAACAAACTCAGGATGGGAAAGAAAATGAAGCACAATGGCTAACACAATCCTCCAGATGGTGGTTTAAGAACTTCCCATGAACTACTAATCCCATGACAGTTCTATAACTGGTTACCATTAAGTACTCTCCATTCTGTAGACGAGATTAAGGTTAGAAGAGTAACTTGCTTAACACCATGGGGTAAGTATGGTATAGTCCAGTACAAAGTTTCTTATTTTATTTTATTATTTTATTACTGGGGATTGAATCCAGGGCATTGCACTTGCTAGCCAAGTGCTCTACCACTTAAACTATACTCCAAGCCCTTTTATTTTTGTTTTTGTTTTGAAAACATCGTACCACTAACTTTTGCTTTGGTTAGGCTTGAAATGGAGATCTTCCTAGCTCCATTTCCCAAGTAGCTGGGAATATAGCTGTGCGCCACCATGCCTCATCTCAAAGCTGTAATCCAGGATGCAGTGTTTCCTCTCTGGTTGGGAGCCTTTCCCGCCTAACACTTATCTATCACTGGGCTCAATGCCATCATATCAGGAATACTACTTTAAATTTAAAACTCAGGTATAATCTTGATGAAGTTCTGCCTTTGGACCATCCCACACCAACAAGTCCAAGCACTACCAAAACACTTGATTTGGCCCAAGGCCAACTAAGTCCACATTTCAACGTGGTAGTAATGAAAAGTCCCATTAATGGTTTTTCAACCTCTGGACATTTTAATGTATCATGAAACCAGTTTTTAACCATTAAATCTCTAAGCATTTTCTTAGGTCTGAGCATTTTTGCATTTTTCCTCCCCAATTCATTCTCACTGTACTGAAGAATGTTGGAACAAATTGAATGTCTAAAGATTAGAGGGTTGCTTAAATAGTGGCAGATTATATAATATGTGTAGTATAGTATGATTCTGCTTTATAATTCTTTTTGATATCACAGCACATATTAACTAATTTTTTAAATGGTAATAAAAAGTCTACAGAATAAATAACTTAATAATAAGAACCATCCATCACAATAACCTTTCTTTGTGTAAGACTAATCTATACTTCTCAGTTTAACTCTCTATATATGCTGTGATATTTATACATGAAACTCTTTTGAGGGTCAAGATTTTCTCAGGAATGAGGTGGAAGGGACAAGGATGACAGTGTGAATTCATCTGTCAACAGTGCAGCAGGGGATTTGACAGAAGAAAGCACAGGGACAAGTTGCACCTAGTGCTAGGAAGAAGGGAGGGAAGGCCAGGTATGACTTCAAGGCAGTCATGGCTGAGCTGAGAGTGCAGGGTGGGTAGAAATGGTGGAGAAAAACAGATAGGAAAGAGGGTTGTAACACATACACTGTCATACCACAAGTGTAGAAGAAAAAATGGCAACCTTTCCTTTTATTTTGCTATGTAGAAACCAGTTTATCCGGACAAGCAATAATTTATAGTAAACCATCAGATATGCATAGGGACAGACAATTTCATACTTTTCTGTTTATATCATAAGATTGGTGGAAGGTTAGCAAAAATGAATTTTAAGCAAAAGAAATTGCACTTTTCTGCAAGATTGATATCTAGTATTAAGAAATACATAGGGGGAGGATATAAGTTAAGGGTGAAGGAGGATCAATATGATGGAAGTATTATGTACTCATGTATGAAAGTGGAACAACAAGTCCTGTTGAACCTATTCTAAGAATGGGATTGGGGGATAAAGGAGAATGATGGAGGGGGTGAATTTTAGATACGCTGTAAGCAATTTTGTAAATGTCACAAGCCAGTACAATATAATAGAAATAAATTAAATTAAAAGAAAAAAGAAATATATAAATTGCTCTTACCATACCACTCTTAAAGTTTGTAATTCTTTTCTTCCCAACTTTGTTGGTTAACCACCATGCCAAGGTTGGCATATATTGCCATAAATATGCCATCAACAAGAAAGGCTGATCTGCAATCCAAACTTCTTTCAAATCATTGGCCATGGAGATCAACATCAGCCTCACACAGCGACTAGTTGCCATCTTGTATGACTGGTCGAAATTGTTCTCCACAGTCTAAAGGAAGTTTAAAATAAAGTGACTGCCAACTATTTATCTAACCTGTATCACAGATCTCTTGAGTTAGGAAGAAAAAAAGGCCATTTAGGTGTGTGGTTCTTGAGTGTTGAACCACATGCCCATTGGGAGTTCCCATAGGGACTAATTGGGGTTATGAACTTTGCAAAATTTCTAAAACCTAAGAGGAATCCTATACTTACCAAAAGAGACTGTGCAGGCTCACTAAAAAACGAGGGGTCTTGCATTTAATTAGAATTGCATCATCTTAAGAACGCTCATGAGATGATTTTATTACCAATTGAGTTAGAAAACTCAAATTATAATAGGTTAACATTTAGTGGCTGGGGGCATGGCTCAAGTAATAGAGTACCCTCCTGGTAAGATCAATACCCTGAGTTTGAACACTAGTACCATCAAAAGAATTAACATAGAGCAAATGAAATCCCCTAAGACATGGTAGACATGGGAATGAATGAGAAGAAGATAAAAAATGATTCCTTTGGTGGTACTGGGGTTTGAACTCAGGGCCTAGTGCTTGCTAGGCAGGCACTCTGCCATTTGAGCCACTCTGTCAGTAGAAAAGAGTCCCTTAATAGGGGAAAAAACCTGTTGCATAGTAGTGGATACTCCCACTTGTAAGAGTGTCTTAGCAGTTTCAATAACCTTTATCAAAACTGGACATGGAAGACTTACAAACTACTTTGCACAATTTTCACAATGCCATGAGTTAAGTTCTGTGAATAACACTTAAGCTTTCCTGATGTAAAACCCTGAATACAGTGATATAACAGATACAACTAGTTAAACATCCAAATTATTCCCCCAAAACAACTTTTACCTTAGTGACTTCTTCACTAAAGGCATTCTTCACTATGTCCGACTGCACAGGTCCAGGGCAAATAGTAGAAACTGTTATACCTGGATAATCAACAAGTTCAGTTCGCAGGCTATGGAAAAATCCCTACCAGGTCACAAAAAAGGTGGGGAGGGAAGAAAAAGAAAAGAAGGAAAATGTAAATAAAATTAAAAACAGACACATGACTTCTAAAAATGTGGTATGTATTACCTCAGAAAGGACTGGTAATGTAATCATGCAGACTTACTAGGAATTTTTAACACAAGACCACAATCTGAAGGACATCTACCTCTTACCAGGTACAAACAGTCACCTTACAGATTGCCATCCATATAGGCAACTCGTAGGTAAAAGACTACCCTAAAGATGCCAACACACCTTCCTCACACCAATCGTCATCTCCACCCTCCAAAGGAGTGTATGTTCTCTCTCCAATGAATTACTGACGTTTGAGGGGGGGACTTCTCTTTATTCTCAAAGTGGTCTAAACTGCTGCTATTTCAGGGAAAAGGGAGCGAAACAGGATTAGAACTTCACAATAACTATCATGGAAAAAAGAATTCACCCTTTTCAAATTACATTACTACTTCAACAAGATAAAGTAGTTCCAGCAAACACTGATCTGTTTTGGGTGATGACAAGTATATGGCTAGGTAGAAACAGGATTGCCTACTGAATGACATTGGTACAAACAAGCTCGACCTTCTAGACTTAAAGATACTGTCATTTCTAAACCAATAAGGAGTAAATAAAATCTACTTCCCCACATCGATGCTCCTAAACTAGGAATTATATCAGCACTACCAGTATTATAACAACAAGACTAACTACTGAAAAGCTCAAACAGCTAACCCGCAACAACCTATTCCTATATGATCTGACAACGTTAAATAGTGACTTTCCCTTACATGCTGACCCACAATTACCACAGAAGCTGCAAGGGTCCACGCTATCCAGACTAACACAGTGCCTGACTCAGAGATGGACCAAAAGAAAATACCTAGTAAATGAATGGAGAACTCCCATGCCTATAACTTCCTCCCCTCTCTAGCAAAAGTAGAGGAACAAGCAGGCAACACATCAGACCCCAAACTGCCTTCTTGTACAGCACATTGAGCGTGGTGTGAATACTTCAATGACAAAAAAGTTCCCTCTTTAACTTGCTGGAAGTGAGAGAAGCAAAAGTGATATTTAACCAGAGCCTCTTGGTCTCAGTGTTCAACTAGTGTTATACCTAACTCCACCATGAGCCGGCCACATTCTATCAGAGGATCAAATCCAGTAATAAAACACTCAGTCGTGGAGGGAAGGCCAGACTGCACATCTGTGATTTTTTAAAAAACATCCTGTATGTCTTATGAGACTTGGGGCCAACAACTGGGGTAGCTACCTTCCCTCATCTGCCTGCCTGAGGATTGCCCAGCTGCTCTACAGGAAGTGACTGACAGTCTGTGAGTAACTATGAGGAAGTTATCGGAGTTGCATCCCACCTTCATCTCTCTCTCTGTCTGTTCTTCAAGGCAGAGAGGCGGTCCTAATGAAGCAAAGCTTCAATTTTCATGAAAGTTTGAGGGCTAAACTTACTGCTCATTATTCCAACAGTGAAACACTCTACAAAACTCACCATCAACAGTATGATTTAAAATTCTGTTTCTTTTACTCATTCTTCTCCCATTGGCCTAATGATTCCTTCATAATATGAAGAAATCAACATTAAAATAATTCAGTGCTAATAGTTAAACACATAAAGAAATACAGCCAAAATCAAGCTCTTCTCCTTTTACTGGATTTTTGTCTTCCAATGAAACCAAAATGAAGATGGTCAAGGCTTTTCCCTATAGTGATAAGGGACCCAGTACTTAATCATCCAGAGGCAATACCTACTTCTCACATGCATGTGTAACTAGACCAGGAAAAATAAACAGTAAGTAAAAGAGAAAAAGAAGTAAAATCACAGAAATAGGACAAAAAGTTCATCCTGAACTGTATGTAGAAGAAAGGAGGGGTGGACACAGTTTGCAATGACGATGTGGCATGGATAGTGATACGGTGAAGGGTCACAGGTTGATTGGCCTTCGATGCAAAGATCAGACACTGTAACTTATCTTTATAACCCAGGTTGTGTTGCACTGTGTGGCACAATGCAGGTGTTCCATACACATCTGTTGAATAAATATAAGCAAGTGAAGGTCAAGAGCCTTTTTAAAATCATCTTCTGGGGATGTCCTCTACAAAAATTCTCCTCACATTATGCTCCAGTTCCAATGACCTCACCCAGAGATGGTCACATCCCCCTTCCTCACATTGAGGTCAGTGCTATTGGACTTGATTTTGAGCAGCCTTACCCGAAGCGCATGTTTGCTGGCACAATATCCACTGGAAACAGGTACAGATACAATTCCTGAAATGCTATTCACAACAACGATCTTCCCTTGCTTCCTCTCAATCATGTGAGGTAGGACACACTTTGTCAAGGACACTGTGCCTAAGTAGTTAAGCTCTATTAGCTCCTTGAAGACATCCAGGCTGGTATTCACAACCAAAGAACGCTGGGATCTCCCACCATTGTTGACCAGAATGTCAATCTAGTTAAAAAAAAAAAATCACAAATTTATAAAAAAAAATCACACTTTGGGAATGTCCTATGGTGTTATACTGGGACCTTGAATCATAGAATGATACATAGAAGAGGGAAGGGAAGGGGAGGAGAGGGGAGAAGAGAGGAGAGAAGGGAAAAGGAGAGGAGAGGAGGGGAGGGGAGGGAAGGAAAAAGAAACCAAACCATCTATGTAAGTCCCATTTTAAGTACTTTTCATGGAAGGTAACAAATCTCATAAAAATAAAAGGAACAAGTTTTATCTTCTTTTGTTCTATATGCATGTAACCATTCTTATCAAGGGATGAAAAATAATAATTACCTATAGACAAAAACCCAGGGATCAAAAGGCCCAACTCATAGACCTGATCTCACTTCAAGGATCCCATGTCTTTGAATGAGAGCACACCAGATGGGAGTGTCTCTGGAAATTACTTCAAAGCCTGACAAAGCAAAGCAATTAAGGCTTTCTCAACATAAAATGCTACTTACCCTACCAAACTCCTGCAGAACAGCTTTGGTCACCTCCTCATGGGAACTTGTGTCAGTCAGGTCAAGGGGTAAAACCAGTATATCTTTTTCTTTTAAATTGCCATTCTCTAAATAAATGCACACAAAATTAGTGTAGAAGTCGTGCCAGTATTCAATGGAAGCTCTTCCTACTCCCATTATATTTCAGTCCCACCCTACAACTGACATTGTCCATAAACCCATCTTTGACTGGCCCTGAGATAGTTTCTCTCACTGAACAGGAAGAGGGGAGTGGTAACATTGCAACATCTGAAGAAAAAAAGCTTGGTTGGTCTCACAAGAAGTCCAATGGCATGTTTCACCTTGAATGTTTACATTGAAACACTTCCATGTACTTGGCAGAAATCAAGATTACACTACAAGATAAAAAGGGTAATAATTGAGTCCGGTCAGGAGTCACTTAGGCTGTGGAGTCGGGAGGATCAAGAGTTCAATCCCAGCCTGGGCTACATAGCAAAACCCTGTCTCAAAAAAAAAAAAAAAAAAAAAATTAAACAGCAATTTCTTTAGAAAGAAAGAGTTACATATGCTTTGAAATAGGCTCACATAGTTATCTTGCTCTTTAAAAAACAAGACAAAGAAAGCAATGAAAAAACACAAAATATAAGAGGTTCAAAGGTTTTATGGCCAGAATAGAAAACTGTGAAACATCATCTAGATTAAAAGCATAAAAGGCTTGCACCAATGACTGACAGGCAATGATTTAAAGGCAATCATCCCCAGTTAAGAAATGCTGACAAGGTTCATCTTCTCTGCCAGAGAAGAACTTGCAAGTCCCAGCAGTAAAGGAGCAACAGCCATAAGAAATGGCATAAGGCAAAAGCACAAGAGGCCTGAGAAAGTAATATCATGAAAGCTCTGTGACCTCGTTGAGTGATTATGAGCAAAAGAAGCCTCATTGTGGAGTGGTTAGCTCGATCAACCAAATAAAAGAAAGAACCTTAAAACAATGAAGGTTTGAGAAGTGACCAAAAAAATGACTTACCTAGGCATCTTCTTTTCACCCTTTCAAGCTCATGTACCCTTCTGGCTGACAGCACAAGAGAAACTCCGAGTTTAGACAACTGGTACACCAGCTCCTCGCCAATGCCACTTGACGCTCCAGTTACCCACACCACCATGTCCGTAAGCTCCCATTCTGTGGAGGAAGGAGGACGGGTGCAGGGGAGCAAATATGCAAGGGGTTAGACTCATACATCAAAGAGTAGAAAGAAAATGCTACCCAATACCAGTTAATATGTAGACCAAGTGCATGAGCTTAAAAATTTAAATAATCTAATAAAACATCTCCCTAAAAATTTTTTTAAAACATGGATATAAACCACATAGCTAGTAGTCATCCACATAGTATTTTGTATATTCCACAGAATTGCTAAACTTGCTGGAATTTAATCCTAATTAAGCTTTATAATCCCATAGTTTCACTCTGTGGAAGGCTCTATATATCTATGTATTTGAAGAAGAAAGATAAAGCTAAGAAAATAGAAAGTCATTACCTGGACAAAAGTTCTTATCCATAAATGGGCTGGCTATTCAGATTGGATGATCACTAAAGGCTCCACCCACTTTTCAGTTCTATTTTTCCAGTTTTTGGCCGTGAAGGCATTGATGAGAAATTCAACTGTACCAAGTTATACACTATAGTATGATGTAATTTATATCCTGCATTTTAATGTAATATTTTCTCTTAATACACAATCGTAACTGATGTCTACCAGGGAATGCCGTTTTGTATGTGTGCCCACCAAATGTGAGAACTCTCATTTTAGGAGAATCTAGTAATTTCTTCCAAGATGAAATGCACAGGACAGAGAGATGAAGTGTTACATTCTGCTTGCCATGTTAGGTTCCTGTGAAAGAGTAACTATCTTAAACATCTCAAATCCTATGTCTGGGCTACAGATCTTTCCTTTCATGTAACGACATACTTCTGTGGAAAAGCACACTGATTATAGGAATAGCAGATGTGTATTCAAGTAATCTTTATTTATTCATCAACTACTCATTTAGAAGTTTTACAGTACTCAGACTCTAGGGTTAATATAGTCCGTTATGGATCTATTTCATAACCACCCTAGCTAATATAGTCTTCTATGGATCTATTTCATTTTTTATGCCAACAACTATTAGGTAAAGCCAATACTGATAAGCTCTCAGGCTCCCATTTACCTTAGTATAATCACAGACACTCATCTTCCCTCCTGGAGAAAAAAAATTTTTTTTGGTACTGACTTTTATTTACCAGTTCCACAGAACCTGACACACATAATGACCTCCTTTAGACTCCAATAGTTGAAAAGAAACCTAGAGTTCAATGTCCAGCCCAGTTGGAAAACTCTCTCCTCAGGCCATTGACTGCTCTTTACCTCCTTCCTCACAGGATGTAGAAGATGATCTCTGAATTGAGATAGCACGCATGTCTTCCCTAAGTCCTCTCATCTCTTGCTTCTCTAAGGTTAAACACATCTAGTTCCTGCTACCTGTCCTCACATGACACAACCTCAGGTTTCCTCACTCTGCACACTGCCCTCTGCATAGCTCACATAGGTCCAGGCTTCTATTGAAGAGAGCTGACCAGAGCAGGACACAGGACTCCACTGGGGTCTGGACAGTGCAGAGAAGAGTGACATGACACAACCTCTTCCCTTGCCCCCAAAGGGTGGGTTGTGTAAGTGTCCAGACTGTGCCAGGTCACTGCTGTGTCCCAGTGCTCAGCGCAGAGGGACCAATCCCACACAGATATTGCCTCTGACACTAAACATCAACACTGCAGCCCAGGCTTCCTGATCTTTTCTGGAAGCCACTCACAGATGGCTCACTTGGAAGTTATTGTCAACTAAATCCTGAGTTGTCCTCACATGTGCAGCTGTTACCTCTTTTCATACTCTGGACTTGTACCATGGATTTTTTTGGATCAAAGGGCAATGTCTAAAACCAGTCACCCTTAAACTGAACCCTATGAGATACATGCCTGGAAATGCAGAGAGTTCTCTAGAATACAGGAGAGGAGGAAATGGTGGCCTCCAGAAAGACATTCTGGGACAGGGAAGGACAGAGCTTTACTTTTTACCATGCATGCTTTGTATTTTTAAATTTTGCATTACATGATGGTGTTATTTGTTTTTAAAAGTGACAAAAAATAATAAACTTACAAATGAGTCAAAGAGTGTCTTTTTTAAAAAATTTTTTAACTTGATAATCTGCCAATCTATCTTGGCTGAGGTGTTCTGGGAATCTGAATCTATTTTCATGTTCCTGTAACTTTTTGTCTTTATCTCCTGTCCCCACCAGGATTCCTTTCAGACTTTTATTTTCTTTCTAAAAACTCTTGCAATTAAATTTAAGTCTACAGATCTATTGTAGATAAGTTTATGTGCTCTACATGTATCAGTGCTGTGTACACAAAACGGTTTCTATAAAGCTTAGTCTTTACTCAATGCAGGTTTAAGAAAGGCTAAATTTTAAAATTAAGTTGAAAGTTAAATTAAACTTTAAAAGTTTATTAGCATTTGTGTTAGTCAACTTTCTGAGTCTTTCACAAAGTACCCCCCAAAAAAAATCAACTTAAAAGGAGGAACGATTTATTTTGCTCATGGTTTCTTAAGTTTCCAGCTGTGGCTCCTTGGCACAGAAGATTTTAGGAATGTTGTCAGGTATTACACCATGACAGAACTTCAAGGCAGGGAGAGGTGTTCATTTCTAAGGAGCCAGAAGCAAAAGGAGAGAGAGAGGAAGGGGGAAGGGTCAAATATGCTTCTCAAAGGCACAATGAAAATGACCTGCTTTTCCAGCTAGGTCCCCATGTTTCCACTGTGTCCAATCTTTCTCAATATCTCCAACAGCCAGGGATCAAGCCTTCAACACCTCACCCACTGAGGATCCCAGATCCAAACTATAACATTTTTATACCTGTATTTACTTAATAAACACAATTTGAAACAAGCGACTTATTTATTTAAATACAGTAAATGACTTATTTATTTAGATAAATCATTAAATTTTTCAAATTGTGTAACTGCATGGTAGCAATGAAATTAAAAATGCTTCAAAACTTATTTTTCCAGGAGAAGTAAAGCAATTGAAAAAATTAAGAGAATTTCTTAACAATTATTTTAGTGGCCTAAATTTTTAACTTTTGTTTCATAGGAGAAAACAACTTTAAACTTGCTAGCTTCTAGATTTGCATTCAGCTACTGTCAATATTTTTCCATTAGGACATAATTGGATGGGTTAATTAACTTTTGTAGAATTACATAATGAAAACAAACCAATTTTATTTAATTCTCCAAATCCAAGTGAATATAAAAGCACTGAAGATGAAACTCTACATCCACAAGCCAGTCCATGGCAGCCAAAAGACCCGTGCACTTCACCTGTTTAAATGAGTAACCACTCCGGACAACGTCCTACGATTAATGAAGGCACAGGTGTTTGGAATTCTGGCTTTCAAATCAAAAGAAAGTCCACACACACAGCCGATCATAGCACCGATCTTGTACACAAGTTGTGCATTTTCTATGAATTCACTGTCAGTGCTGCAAAGTTCTACACAAGCAACCCAGACACAGAAATAAAACACCCAGGGCTAAGACTTTGTCCCTTAGTGTTGACCTTGGAGAAAAAGAAAATGCTGTTCTATTAGATATTCTTTGAGTTCTCAAGTAAGAATTTCTACCGAACCCCTGCTCCTCCCACACTCACCATTTAGAAAACACGGTCTGTCTTCTGAGCAGCCAGCTAGGACTTCCTAACAAACTTCCCCCAAGGGCTTCCAGGGTTTTCACTGTGGAACTCAGAATGGGGAAACCCTCTTGGGGTCCTTGAGAATCCAAAGCCCACCTTTGTCAGGTCTTTAATTCCTCTGACATCATGGGAAACAACCCTGCTACTGCCTACTTCCTAAGAGTTGTTCTAAGGTGGGGGGTTGTGAAGTGAGGAGCGCACTGCCTGCCCGCTCCCCAAGGCCTGCGTTTAGAAAAGACACCACATGACCATTAATTACGTGCCATCACAGGTGAAGCTGGGCACGGACGCAGTGGGACAGGCAGAATGATCCTTCGTGTGCCCTCAATGTCTTGCTCCAGAGGAAACACCATCCGCAGTCCTTCCTAGTGCTGCACTTTTGTCCTAGTAAGGAGATAATCTGGGATTATCTCAGATTCACTCCAAAACTACTGGGAGCGAGAAAAGGAGGATAAACAACTTGAGGAAGAAACACTGAGCCTCTTACCAGGAGGCTCCCTTAAGCTCAGGGGACACTCACTGCTTGTCACAGTATTCTCCCCACATCCTGAATCTAAATCCCTGGAGTCTGGGTGGGGAAGTCAGAGTCCCGCGCGCGCCTGGCAGATTCCAAAATTCCCTTGTAGTTTGGCAAGCCCTGGAGAGGTTTAAGGCAAGTCGTGCCACTTTCGGACCGGAACATACGATAAAAGGCAAAACTGTCTCTTTTAGCCCCGGCCTCTTCCTCCCCTAGCCGCAGCCGCAGGGCAAGGCCGCCCAGAGGCTCCACACAAGCAAGGACCCAAGACCACAGCGGAGATCAGGGCGCGCCTGGGCCGCCCCTGCGCGGTGTCGGACTTGGGGCCACCGCGGCTCCTCACCTGGCCGTCGCCCTTGCCACTCGGCCCACAGCAGTGTCAGGTCGCCGTCCGCGCGCACGAAGCGCACCAGCTGCACCAGGAGCAGGAGCAGCGCACACAGCGCCAGCAACCAGAGCAACAGCTCCCAGCTCATCGCGGCAGCGACCGCTGCGACACGGCGGCGCCAGAAAAAAGACAGCCTATGCCCTGTGCTCGCCGCCGCCTTAAAGATCGCACTCCGGCCTCCCCGCTCTCCCAAAGCGCAGGCGTTGCCCAGGGGTGGACACCCGCCCCTCCAGCTGTGTCCCAAGATGCACCGCGTTGGAAGTGGGGACACCCCAGAGGCGGGGTTGTGGCTGCGGATTTCCCTTGCTTTGCATCCAAAGAGTGTTGCAGTAGGAACAAAGGCACAGAAGTCTTGATTCCATGGAGAGACTTAATTACTTGCTCGATACCTCTGTGGATCCTTGGGATGACGATCTTTTTTAATGACAAGATATGAAACAATTTATTATAGGGAGAAGAAACTTTTTCATCCAAAATACAGAAATCTGTACAGTTTTTCCACAATCAGTATACAGGAACTATACATATTTGTACCAGTTCATAATTTACCAAATGAAAGATGGCTAGCATGCTGGCTCAAGGGGTAGAGCACCTGCCTCCCAAGAGGGAGGCTATGAGTTCAAACCCCAGGATCGCCCCCCCCCCAAAAAAAATTAATAAAATGACAAACAAAGTTCACAAAGTAGATGGTGGTTTGTAGAAAAGACTTAGCCTGTTAAGTTCAAAGAGAGCTACAAGCCAGGCCTCCACTTTCTAAAAATAAGTTTACTCAGCCTTAGGACAAGCTTGCAAATATGCAGAGAGTTGGCTGGTGGCCACAGTTGAGACAGTGTCTTTTGAAAAAGTCTCTTACCATGGCAGATTCTGATCACTTGCTGCTTTCAAAGCCAAAACCACAGCACAAGGTCTGACCATTTCCACTGGTCATGCTGACTAGTTCTCCTATATGTTCATTTATACATACTGAATAGGAGGTAAAAGTCTGTCATAAAGTTTCCAGTACAACTATGGTTATAAAGAGCTGCCAAAGAGGTTACTGGTATTCTTCTGTAAGGTGTACTTCAGAGAACGGTTCTTTGAAATACAGACTTTCTTTAAAGGGACTGACATAAAAATGTAGGTGTAATTGAAACCAGAGTTTTGAACCCCAGGTCCAAACTCCCAGGATTCCACATGCCAGGTCAGCCCACTCACCCCTATATGTCAAATAAAGAGACAATAGTGATGATGAGGAAAAAAAATTAGATTTATTACACAGCTAGAGTCAGAGTGAGCACACAGTACATTTTCATCCATCTTTGGGGTGCAGACATGAGCTATAGGTTTAAATAGACAAAGAACTGGAGATGGGAAAGATGTAGGCATAGTCAAATAGTCCCAGTCACAGGTGTGGCCTTATTCTTCAGGGGTTCCTGAGAGGTTGTTATCTAGTCACTGTCACCTGGCAGGTGGTCTATCCTGAAGAGACCCTGCTATTAGGGGTAGTTTTGGTCCCTTGTCATGAAGATGTTATCATGGAATCTAAAATGATTGCAAAGTGACTACAGAGAATAGCTTAGAGAAAAGACAAATACAAAATGAAGGAAAGATGCCATCTTTACCTCCTGTTTTTAGTTAATTCATGGGCTCAAGTAAGGAGTCAGTGCTTTTCAGCAAAAACAGTTAAAACACCTCTTACAAAACTTCCCTAGGACTTTGCTCCCTAGCAAATAGGAATTGGTTACTTGGATTCACAGGCTATTAAATTATTGAAAGATATTGTCCAAACTACAACACTGTCAGTAAAAAAATTTTACCACTTTATCTTGTGCCAGGACTTCAAAGCTGTGACATGGTTTAAATTCCATAATCTATCCCAAGAAGAGCCCACCCAGATCTTTGTTGGGTCACGTCTATAGTTCCCAGCCCTCCATAGACTGAGGCAGGAGAATCTGGAGTTACATAGGCAGAACCTGTCTCAAAAAAAAAAAAAGCTCACCCAAAGCAAAGTCAGATTTATCCATCCATCTTAACATGATCCATCCATAGATCACATCTTGGCCCAATTCAGTCATCAAAGCATCGTTTTGGAGGGGCTTGTTTTGCCTCAGAGAAGTTTCTCCTTGCAATTGATTCTGTAGTCTGTGCTGTTTTGAGTGCTACCTCCTGATGTGAGGCTTCCTACATCAGGGATGGAGACATCCTCTCCAATGCTATAGGAGAAGTCACAAGGGTCAAACCAGAGTGTGAGTTCCCCAAGGACAAGCTGGAACAGCTCAGGACTGCTTGGTCCAGTCCAGTCCACCAGGCACCTATCCAATCAGAGGATCTATTTTAGGGTTGATGTGAATACAAGGGCACCCTGGTCCTTTGCAAGGCTTCTGGGATCCAGTGGTGTTCATAAATAAGCTTGGCAGCTCCCACAGGCTCTGGCTGAAACTCTGTAGCTGTTGCTGGCGCCTCATGAGCCCCTTGGTGCAGGGGACCTGCAGATGAAGAACACAGTGGTGGTGGCTGTGACCTCACCTGTCAAGGTGGCAGCCTGGGAGAGATGGAGAGGGGATAGAGTGGATGAATGTGGAGGCACCTGACTCGCTCACTGATCAGACAGTCATCGCCAGAGACTGATGGCTACTTTTTTTTTCTTTTTTCTTCCCCTTTTCTTTAGAATAATAAAAGTAATTTTCTAGACCGGAGGCATCAGGAGAAAGGGACAAGCAATAAGGCCTGGTCACATGGCTCTGACCTTCCCAGCCCCATCTTCTTCACCTCCATACCTATGAAGATCCCAAGAGTTGCATTTCCAACTCCCAGAGGCAACGGGAAAGATTGTTTTTAATAGCTATTTTTGAGGATCTGATTAAGAAGCAAACATTCTACCTCTGTACCCCCAACACACACACTACCTCCACCACCACCCCTTCTTCCCGTGGTATTGGGCTTTGAACTCAGGCAAACATTCTAATTTTGAATGGGCCCATGCACCTCCCTGTCATCTTCACCCTCTCCTGGCTGGGGATTGAGTCTAGGATCTTGAGCATACTAGACAAGCCTCTACTCCTCCCTTCATCTTTCTTTTGTTAAACCAGGTGAATCGAGTAAGCATATTGATACCTCCGACACCACTACCACTGAACTAATCCACTTGCTGAATTGGCTTGGTCCCATGCCAACTTGTTTGGAAAACACATGGTGATTGACACGTCCCATAGGCGGACCAGAAAGTACAGCTTCAGAGGCCTAGGGATTCCAGGGCTAGAAGCATGGCTGGGGAGCTGCACCCACAGGGTTTAGGTCTAGTGGCTATATCTTCTGCCATCTAGTGTAAATGATTTCACTATCTGTACCTACAAAGAATGCTAAGGTAGATTTAATGAGAAAAATGCCTGTGAAAGAGCCAGTGATTGCATTCCTTTTTCTTTTGTAACTACTGGTATTAATTATCATTATGAATTGTTATTCTTTCTAATGTAATTAACATTTCTTGGCCTCCAACCTGAAAGGCAGGGACTCTGTATTCTATATTATGCACCTTATCATTCCCCTTGCAGTGAAAATGTTTAAGCTACTATTGTAGTCACTGTTAAATAGAAAATCCAAGTAAGAATCCAGATATAAGAATATCCATGTGGCTGCATCTGGGCAGGATATGTAGGGTAGCGAGGGTAATAATGGTTTATTAAAGTTGGGGAAAAGTTACAAAAGGCCATGATAGGGTAGGTATAATGCAGAAGCAGAGAGTTTTCTCTTACAAAGCATTTTTAAAAGGTCACTTTCACCTGTGGGAGGGGAAAAACTGGTGGTTGAGCTGGATTACTGATTGAGCTGTTGCTAGACTATTAACCTGAGCATATTTGCAATTCAAAAGAAGGCTGAGAGAGAGAGAGAGAGAGAGAGAGAGAGAGAGAGAGAGAGAGAGAGATTTGTTCGAGCTGATATACAGCGTTAAGTCATGCATATGTTAAGTTTTAAGAGTCCTGATTCTTTTTTCTATATCCTGGCCTGCCTCACTATGATCAAGCAGAAATTACTGGGATCTGATCAGGGTTACAGGAGTGGCAGGTGACCTAGATAATTTTTGATCTGGCCTGATTGCCTACCTGGATTATTACTGTTGCTCAAGTTACTCTCATTGACTTCTCACCTTTGCAATGGGAGTTTTTCTTATGTTACATTACTTTTATGATAATGAGGCAGGCTATTTTCACACCCTGTGTAACTTTTTTCTCAGCACATTTCATGCCAAAGGCCTTATCTCAGCCCAAGGCTATCCTTATAAGACAAGAAGCCTTGGGGGTGCCATTCATTCTCTCTCAGATAAAAACCCTTTGCTTAAAACATGAGTATTAACCACACCCCACACATATGATTAAATTACCTAAGAGTTAGCTTAAGTGCATGCACAGAGTAATTGTCAATCACCCTAGCACAACCCACCTGAACTCCCAAATCTTTCATCACCCACAGATTATTGGCAATTTAAAAAGACCTTGAAACAGAGAGTTGTCCTTCCTTTTTCCT